CCTCCTCAAGTGCTGCGCCCTAATTCGGCTTACAGGGAATTGTAAACGTCTTTCATTTTTTGTTTCCTTTGATGGGCACCTTTCGAAAGGCACGCGCCGATTATACAAGGTCGGAACTACTGCACAATGGCGAGCGTCGGAGCGCGGCCAACGCTAGGAAGCGACGAGCCAATCAAATCGGCGACGAGAGTGCAACGTCACTGCGCTCGCCACGTTTTTGTGAGTGTGTGTTTTCTTTCTGATCCAACCAAACGCATAAAGTGCGCCGTGACGCTGTGGTTTTAGCCCGCCATTGTGCAGGGATTCCACCAGCTGCAAACAGAAGGCAGTCATATGGAAGGGGTCTATTCCGTTTACTTCACTTGATCATTACAATAGCTGGCCAGGTTATTGCCATTTTAGATTATGCTGTGTCCTTCTCCTCGGCATTGGCCTCTCTGGAGACTCGTCAACGACCGTTTCAGTGGCTCGGTATCACGGTAAGACTAGAGCCATTAAATGAGCTACGCTTAGATCATCGGCACTCCGTTCCCCAATCTGGTAGTGGGCGCCGCCATCTTGGTGCTTAGCGCAGAGCAGACGCAACTGTCGATCCTCATAATTCAAAACTGAGGTTTTCTCAAATTTCGATACAGTTCTAGAAAGCTGAGACGATATTGTGTTTCTCTTTCGCAAACCGTTTTAACAGTCCTGGAGGACGGAAAAGTGTTTCCTCCGGTTTCAGATAAAGCTTCAGATAACTGGCAACCATGATTTTAAGCTCCAAGATGACTAAAGTGTCGTTACTCTGAAGCATAGCTTATTTATCGGCTCTAGGCGAGACGAGTAGGTCAGCAATGGCGGATGTAATCTCGCAAGTGTACAAAGCTATATACTCGTAAAGTCATTAGATCCTGAGACGGTAGCGCCGCTTTGGTTCATAGGATGAGCAGTTATTTCTTGTCCTCTCTATTCTTGGTGATCCGATCGAAAGTCGCGGTGACAGATTGCTTAAGAAAGGTATTTTTTTATACCAAAATCTGTTATTCACACAATCGTTAGATTTTGTTATCCGCACACTGCGAAGCAAGCGCATATCCTTGCACCGCCACCACTTGTGGCGTCAGTGTTTGGCGGCATTGAAAAATAACTTTCCTTTCTTGAAATATGCAAGAAGAACAGTATAACTGCAAGAGGTCTGTGGAAATGAGCATATGACAAATACGTTGATTACCTACACAGTTTGAAAGACGCGTGCATTGATGAGCAACGCTTTCGGTGCGATGACCTTTCATATGGCGATTTTGGCGCCGCTGGTTCAGAACAACCCTTTCGAAGTTTCGTACGAAGACTCGCAAGGACCGAAATGGCGATTGGCATGGCAGCAGAGACGAAACAACCAATAGCCTTGCGAGGTTTTGTTCGTCTGTTTGTTAGTTTGCACTCCTTGTCCCCCTAGCACAGAGGGAAGGCAATGGCGTTATCCATATTCCCCGGATCCAGTGGCTTTATATACTCCTTATAGGACGCGAGGGCTGCGCCAATTTTCGACGTGAACTCGGCTCGGCTAGTACCGATAACGAGGGCTGGTGTTGACGTCCGTCGAGGACTCGGATTCAATTACTCACTTCGTGCCTAAAACAAATGACGACCGCCAATGCTGCTCGATGACGTTCTGAAAAGCGTCTATTACCTTCACAAGTGAGTTGGTGACGATACCGCCATTATTTCACGTTGTGCGATACATAGCGCGTTTACACAGGCCGAGGTGTAATCGAGGGTAAAAGATCTTGTGTTCGAGGGGTAACAAATCAAAGACCTCTCTTCCGTTGTTATTCCTTCAGTGAGTACAAAAAGAATTTGATGAAAGTTAAACACTTAACTTTTTGATATATTAGTAGTAGCATAAAACATTTATCTAGAACTTTACAAGGAAGTAGGGAGGGGAGTGAGTCGGTGGCGACGAGGTCTGGAACCTGTAAGCTGGTTCCCATGGATAGGAAGAGGCTGAGGGTAGAATTTACGTACCTTCTGAAGAGCCCAAGAAGCAGACTGCGACGCCGACTAAAACAGAGAGCGGCGCCGATCTTCTGCACCATGTGCGCAATAAGGCTCTGAACAAACAAAAACGGCGAAAATAGCTTAATGTGGTCGGAGCAAGTTATGTGCAACCGTTTGACAATGATTACACGTTGAAATGCTCTCAATGGAAACCAAACCACGTTACCCGTGCACTATTCCACTGGAGGGACGATCAACGAACACTGGTCTAGAAGCTTATACGAAAAGCTGACGTGGTGTCGAAGCTATAAACGCTCGTACTAGAAGCGGAACACTTGTAGAAACACCACTAATACCAAATGAAATTTGAAGCCGTACACCCTCCCGACTATTCGGGATCCCAACATTTTTCTTTGCTGTTAGACTTTTTTTAAGTATACTTTTTGGGGATCAGCCTCGTTATTACTGTCATCATTATGGCATGAGATATTCGGCTGTTCATTCTTTAAAAAAAAAAGAAAAGCAGATTAGGTTGAAAATTAGGTTTTTTCAGCATTGTTACGGCTTCAATAGCTTGCCTCTGATTGGTGCTGCTATCAGCGTGCGAGCGCATGGCGCGTGGTTGGTCCGCTTTTCACAGTGACGAATACTCGCGTGTTGATTACATGCCATGGGATTGGAATGGCAACTTTCCAAAATGCAGCTTGGGCGTGCTAGTGAGGCCCGAAGCTTAAAACGTGCAGCGCAAACAGACGGGACAGAAGAGAAATAAGAGACACAAGACAGACATACAGGTTCATCGGCGATTCTGTGTCTTCTCTCTTTTGTCCCGTCTGTTTACGCTGTACGTATTAATAATAAGAATGATAAAAATAAAATGTTTTGCTCCTTATGCGGGTGTTATTTTATCCCTGCGCTACAAAACGTTTCTTCTCGATAAAACCTTTTGACCACAGGCGATGCTGCGAAACCACAGAGCCAGCCAAGCTGTGCCAAATGTAGATCCTCACAGCGCTCGTCGTGTTTATGCCTTTTGCTGTGATCGGCTTTTTTTTTTTTTTTCTGCACGCATTAGGTTTATTCGGGAATAGGAAACATAAAAAAACGACCAGGGCTGTGACGATGCACTTTTTGACTCTGCCTGATTGTCTCCAACGGTCAGTACAGCGCCGGCCTCTGTCTCACACACACAGTGAAACGAAGTAGAGAAGAGAAAAACCCGCGTTCGCTTTAGCGTTTGCAATTGGATCTCGAAGTGTATAGCGAAAAAACTGATTCAGAGTCGCGTAATAGCGTTCTACCATTAGTCGCAAGCCCTCAAATTCATGAACGTCTGCGACACAAATTACATCCTCCAAAGCTAAGGTAAGTTCGAATCCCACTATACGTGTCAGATGGCATACACGTTGGGGATAACTATACTCGCGTTTCTACCTCAAGAACCATAATAAAAATGTTTAAAAAAAGTACGGCTTCTTGCGGTGCATTATTAATTTCCCTCTTTTATGTAGAGAATAAGGATGTACTGTATATAAGGTGCATTTTAGATTCGATGCAAGTTGTCTTATCAAAACGGGCGCGTTTCAAACGCCAAAAGCATCGCTTCTACCTCCGTCATCAAAATCTTTTCGCGCGACGCAAAAACAGTCCGCATAACATGCTTTTTTTTTTTCTCTCAAGTAACAACGCGTATAGATGGCGTCGCGTTTGCTCGATAAATTAAATTTACTGACAACTTCAGAAATGCAGAGAGCACGTAGGGCTTTCCTAGCGTATGATTGGTTCAGCCGGGGATAGCCGGGAATGCACAGAAACAAGCAATATTGCTTTGCTTAAAAAAAAAAAAAAAGCTTTTTCCTTTGCAAAACGCGTTGTGACGGTGCACTTTATGCCGCATGCTCGATTGTCACCATCAAATCGGAGTGTCGGCTAACTGAGTTTACGGATTAGATATCAAAACGTTCTCGGCTCGGAGGTGTTAATTAAGACGGTAAAATTACCAAAAAACTCACCTTTCAACCATCTTCTTCCTGCATTCAGACCTATACTGGTCTGCTCGACTGAAGACAGGTTAGCTCAATCGCCTTTGGATACTGGCACAAAATTAATAAGGCTGGAATCGCGAACAGGTGTCATGCAGCTGCTACTGCCGCGGCGCTCTATCTTAGATATATATCCTCCACCTTCCACTGGATAAGAAATGAGAGTCGATAGAGCAGAGAGGCGTCCATTAGTAGTGTGGCGTAAGTCAATGTACACTTTTATCGGAGACCACTGACGTCCTATACCTGTCGGAGAAGGCAATACCTTCTTAGGAAGAAAATATCAATGCGATAAGATTAGCTAAAATAACCCACGAACTGAAAGAGTTAGAGCAAAATGTCATTACCCAGATCGAAATAACACTACGTTTCCGGTTACAGAACGTTTCTACTCATATTGCGAAGCTATTTTGACGTGTTTGTGATTAAGAGAGTTCCCTCAATGCCTACCTTATAGCTTGCACAGTGGAGTAAGCGCAAGTTTACGTATAGGCAACGTAACTGATACTAGAGGCCCTGCTATCAGCCAGCTTAGTAAATTCGTACTTCAACGGATGTATGCTCTGCAAAAAACGTTAACTTATTGGTAAGCCTTACATTTAATGAAAAATGTCGTTGATGACGACGCTGCGTCAATCTAACTATATGGTAGAGTGCTTCCTGTGCATTCGTGTCTCCGAAAGTCTGCAATCACAAAGAAAAAAGGTTAAGCAGTTTAATTATTTATTTACAATACACTACATACCTTCCCAGACCCAGGCAGGATAGGACAATTACAAGCGAGAATTTCAATTTTCCTGGCGTGCCACTCAGAAGAAAAAAGAAAAAAGTGCAAGGCGTGCCACCAAACAAATCACAGACAGTACTTCTGAATCTCCATATATAGCGAAACAGTGTGCGAGCAAGCACCACGCCAGAGCTACCGGGCATGGAACAATGTACCATGTCCAAAAAGGAAATGAACAGCAAAACCACATGATCTACATCAGCATCTGAACATACGACTTTATTTTTGCAGACCATATAACCAAATCTGCAGCGTATACAGATTTGTTTAAAGCCTGCTCTTCTGACAATACTTCACGGTGATGTCTGAAGCCGCGTACAAACAAAGACGCAAATGATGTAGTCACAAGTTCAACATGTTCGCTGCAAAGCGCGCAAGAACGAAGACGTCAGGTGCCGTCCTTCGGCCTCACGCAAGTGTTCGACAGGATACCGCCAGAAGTCTTAGTGGTGGAAACACGTTGAACTTGGCTTGGCACAAACCATTTACCTGGAAAATAGAGAAAAACAAATATATACTTTAAAAAAATATCCTATACTTCGTTTTCCCTTCAGCCCAGACGCGACGCCACGATCTGATGGGATTAATCAGACGGCGTCAAAAACGCACAATCATGCATTGTTTTCTTCATTTTTTCTGTTTTCATGTTCCATCATCGCTGAACCAGTCAAACAGAAATTACCCGGTGGCTTGTGCTCTTGACGCTGCCAGATTGGTCACATTAGCTCGTAGCGTTGGCCCTGTCCAGGGACTTAAAGGGACCATGAAATGATTTTAAAATCGAATTCCATCCACCGCACGTCGTAAAAGGTGTGAAAAGAAACACAAAAACACAAAACTAGGGAGCCAAAAAAAATTATTTGCTGTAGAACTTTTAAAAGAAAACTGGACTCTTTTGCGACTTCTTTCCTTCGAAAGCTCTGCCTTTTCACTACGATGCATCCGCAGAAATGGAGCACGTCAGCCGAATCCACGTCGCCTATTGGGTAAGAGCCTACCTCACCAGCACCGCGATCGTAAACAATAAATAGCCGGCGAATGTTTCCTAAAAGTTTTGTTAAATAATATTCAGACCCACATTTTGTAGCATAATTAGAGATGTGTGGCGAAAATTGCCAAATTTGATAATGCTGAGAGCCAAGCGCCATCTATCGTGTGGTAAACGAAGCAACTACTGCGCGTGCGCAGTAGGGCAGGGCCGACTTCAGGACGGTTATTTCCAGTGTGGTTATTTCCTTTAGTTTCCTTCCTCTCAAAACTCTGACTGATTGAACGTTTATTTTTCTACGTATTCATCTCGCGCGTGCCGACTTCAAGCAGCAAGAAAAAAATGTACTTAAAACAGACCATGACGAACAAGAACGCTGGATCCACAAACACTACGACCGGCTGGCGTGCTGAATGGAATATGCCCGCGCTACCCTTGTGGACCCTTCCCGTATTATAGTTTGATCGCTGACCTCAATTTTAGGTTAAGAGGTGAGGTCAATCTCTTCCCCTTGTTTTCCGAGTTAGTGTTGACGAACACTCGTCGAAAAGGGACCCTCGTCGATTCTCTTTTCTTGTTTTGTGTGATATAGAGCTGAAATAAACGCTGTATGGATTACCTTCGTAACACGGTATGTACAATTTGTTATTGGTATGCCATTTTTATTCTGACAGACTGCACGTCACTGTCGAGCTGTAACAGTTCGTGGGAGGTATACGTGCAATACCGGTCCAACCTTTCTTTGCCGAGTGTCGCGTCAGTATCGAGTTGCAATCGTAAAAGATCGGTCCCGAAGCGCTTACCAACAGCGCGAATACAGCGCTTCCATCAAACGCGCGCGTCCGCTCCGAGTGTGAACAGGTATTTACGTGGCTCTTGCTGACACTCGTAGTTCAAACGTATCTTTTTTAACGTCGGCTCGCCCCTGCATCTCCGAGACCGCGAAAAACGCCGCGGCAATTTGTTTCCATCTACGTCACTTTGCAAGCGACTGACACTGGCCGCCTTTTACCAACAATGACAGTTGGGTTGACTTCTGGAGTCTTCACCGGAAGACTCGCTGCACTTCCCAACAGGCATACCGGTGTATGGGACTAGTCCCATGCTGTCGCTGTAGCGCAACGTATCTCATTGAATTTCGCTCAGCTGCGATGCGGCGATGAGAGGCGCCGATTCAGAAAATACGTCGGTGACATCGGCGCAGTAAAACCTACCGGCGCACCCCAACTCGTCGCCGCTAACGCTCTCATCTCCTACTGCCGAGAGAACTTCCGGTTCCGGAAACAGCGTACGTCACGGCTTGTTTTGCGGTCAAGAAAAAGTCGATATTTCATTAATTTTTTGTGTAGAAGTTAATAAACCGAGACGAAAACGGATGCCTGTTCGGCATTCAGTGAACATTGACGGTTTAATGTAAAAGTTATCTGGAAAAAGCAAAAAAGTCATTTCATGGTCCCTTTAAAGGGGCACTGAAGTCGATTCTGATATCGTTCTTTTATGGTGACAACTCAACCTAGACGCTCTAAGCATCCCAACAAACATAAAATCCCTATCATGTGTTAGCTTATTTCATTGTTAAAAGCGTTTTTATATATCGCGACACGCCCTTTTTGGGAAGAATTTTCTTCCGAGTGAAGTGGTCGGCGAAGGCCGCTTGGTTGCGAGTTGCAAGTGATGGCTTCGCCCACGGAGAAAAAGAGGAGTCTTATCCGAATGTGTACTACTTATAAAACTCTCTTCAAAACGAGTTATAATAAAATCATGCGGGATCCGCACGTATTGTAGTACTTCCATTGGTCCAACCAATGTAGTGGCCCAACCAATGTAGTCCGCGAGAAAAAAGAGTCCACGCGTTTTTCTATTGCCCTGAGATGAGTATGCGGTTTTGTAATATAGGACTTGGTATATGTGGGGGAACTAAAAAATTTTAAGCAATATAAGATCAAAAACTATCTTTTTCAAAAATGACTTCAGTGCCCCTTTAAGCTCAAACGAAGCATAAGTTCTTTTTGCTCAACGAATATGCACACCGAAAACCTACTGTCCAAACACGCAGTAAAGATCCGTTTGAAGTGAATTCGGTGAAGTCAAGCAATACCGATTTTATTTTTGCCAACATAGTAATGTTAGACTTGTGTACACCAAAGCCAATCGTGAGCAAGCGCTTGCAAATATTTATCACTTTTTTTTCAGTATTCTTGCGATATGATTATTACGAGGACATCATTGTGTTCAAACCATGGCTCGCATTTTGTTTGTTTTATTTTTCTGGTATGACCCGATACGTGTTAGTCCTTTGCGGCACTCACCGTTGCTCCAATCCGTATTGATAAATATGCCCGTACTAAACCTAAATACAATATATCAAATAAACTCCGTAGGGCATACCTTATCAGGAGCTGTGCCTATACTTACCTAAGGTTATGTTGCACTGATTAAGATATTGGAAGAAAACTATAATAACAACAATTAATCACCTTTAAATAGTGCTTATGAAGATATTATAAAAAAAAGCAATGATCTGACCAATTGATCAACCTAGTACAATATTTCTCAAGAGAAGAAAACTATGAAGACAAAATGATAGATCAAATTATCGGTGCTTATCGTTTTCAAAGCGCATGTGCCACTTAATTATTTTGCTCGAATCATCTGGCACTTTTTGATAAATAGCGAAATCCTGTAGACACTTCACTAACAACGCAGATCGAAGCACATATTTTATGCGTGGCTTGGTATCGACGTCTCATCAGTCCATTGAGAAATACCTTGCTCCTACGCGCGTACCTTCTGAAGCAAACATTTCGCATCACCGAGGTTCTTTTTTGTTTTGTTTTGTTTTTCGGCAATAACATGTAGTAATGACCATTTGTAATGTGTGATGACGTGACCAACGTGCAATCTATGTGTAACGAAGGCCAACGTCTCGATTTAACAAATTCAGATACCGGGCATTGATATGCGGCAGTCAACGAATGCACAATTCGCAACACTGTTAGCACAAACGCGATATCGGCACGTTTCTGTCTTCCTCGGGCAGAATATTGACGCCAATAAAGGATTTTTCTCTCAGGTCACTGATCTCCATATAGCGCCTCTGCCACTCCGACTCACGGTAATCTGTCGAACGTAAAAGGCTACGGTACCAGTGAACCAAACAACGCCGTCGGAGAAAAACACTGGACTATACTCTATCTCACTATAAACGCAGAGCTGTAGGAGCCATTGGCGGGAGAGAGGGGAAATGAACTTTTGAACAAATATTGAGCGGCAGGCTAATCTCCGAGGGGGAGAAAAGCTAAGCTTGTAAGACACAAAAGAGGGTGCAGGTAAGAGGGTAGTTCCCCCTTTCGCTCTTCTCCAACTGCTTGGGAATCATCGGCTAGGGCTGTCCCGTGCTTTTCTTCCGTCACACTGATAGAGAGTTTTAGTATATCCTTTCTATGACTCCGATACCCCGCGATAGCCTTGATAAAAGGTGCCGTTTTCCACGGGACGATTGACGGAGGCTCCGTGATCAAACGACGCACACCTACTCGCGGTCTCTGTGCACCGCAGAAAAAGCGCGCTTGACCAGGCAGCTGCGGCTTGGCCCAATTTTAATAATATGATTAGTTTAATTAATTAATCATAATATAATTAATCATGTAATTCGTTTTTAATATCTATTTTGACGAGCATGATGGCGCTATAAGCACGCGGAATTCTACGGCTTTGGCAAATTTAATCAAAAAGATCATACGACATGTTCACTCGCCAGCGATTATGGAACGCGCAACTAAAATTCGTCCCGGCGAGTAGATTTCAGCGTACTACTGCGTGTGGCGTACGTGAGAGCAAACAACTTTATACTAAAACTGTCATTTTTCTCGAATGTGCCTTAACGTTTGCCCTTTGCCAAGTTACCGTGAAACGGAGCATAGAAGCTTCTATGACAGCCATTCCATCTTAAGAGACAAAGGGGCAAATCTGGCGATCGTTTGTTCGTGCTAAAAGTTTCCTACAGTGTACGTGTCTGTACCTTGTTACTGGTAGGGCGACAGAGCTCCTTCGAGTAGACGGACGTATCGGTCACCTTGCAGCTGCTCGGGACTGTTGTGAATTCCACGGTTGTGACGATTCCCATAAGGATCTGCAAGAGGCACGCAGTAACAAGATGTAAGCAATGGCGACGTCTCCTTTACCAAGCGCCGAGTTTTTTTTTTGTTTTTTTTTAGCTATTTAAAGTCACTGACAGGATTAGAACGGCAAAGGAAGTCCTTTGGTTGTCCCGCAACTTGTGATCATCGAGAGTGCACGCCAGTACGACTGAAGGCTGCGAACGCGTGCTGGAGGCCGTGCAACAGAAAGAGACACTCTGCCGTTTTCATCCTGCCATTTCTATTCTATAAATCACGAAAGACGCGTTATGGGGGCTTCGGAGAGCACTTTTCACTGGTTGTACTTTGAAATATCATGGACAGTCGTCGGCATTCGTCCGGGATCTTTTATACTTATCGACATTTTTTAAGACGTTTTCATTGTTCACAGGTCCTCTTGAGTACGCCGGGGCTACAGTTGTATGAATAGGACAGTAACGGCATCATTATCCTCATCTGGCAACAATGTCCAAGAAGCGGCTAGGCATTAAACCGGCTCCGACGGGCAGTCGAGTCGTCGCACTTATATCGTTCGCTTTGTCTCATGGGTCTTTACTAACGACGCACTTTGGGAGTCGTTACATGGTGTCAGAAGTGCGAGTGCCGTTCGCTGTTTCCGCCCAGTGAGGCCTACTCCCACGCCGCAGCCGCCGCTACCTGCTGCCCACAACAGGCTAGGAGTTGCTGCCTGCCTTACTGAGCGGCCATGGACGGACTTCGCCCGCCCGATTGCCTGGTGCTCTCTGGAAACATCGCCAAGAACTGGCGTAAGTTTCGACAAAGCCTCGAATTGTACCTCAAAGCAACAGACAAAAAAAGGGCGTAGCACCGAGCAGAAGGCAGCCGTACTTCTACACGTAGCCAAACCTGACGCAATTGAAGTGTTCAGCACTCTTGGATGCACGACAGAAGACTGAGAAAGCTTCGAGATGCTGCTTGACAAGTTTGAGAACTATTGTCAGCCCCGTATGGACAAGACTTGCGAACGATGTGTGTTTAGAAAGCGCGTCCAGGGTGACGGCGAGTCGTTCGAGAGCTTCCCAGGTGACCTAAAAGAGAAGGCACAGTCTTGCAACTTTGGCTCGCTGCGGGACTTGATTTTTGACTAGATTGGGTACGGCACAGCAGATGGCAATCTACGAAAACGACTGCTGAGGGAGGACCCGCTCACCATGGAAAACGCCATAAAGCTAGCACAGTCTGCGGAAGTGGCGGCGAACCAGAGAAGAATGTAGGACAATTTAGAGAAGACGGTAAAAGCGGTGAGCAAATTTAAAGTACCAAAGGGGAAAAGAATGCGGCCGATGCAAAAGGCAACATCAACCAAAGAAATGTCTCGCTCACGGTCAACAATGTCGAAAGTGTGGAAGATAAAATAACTTTGCGGTGGTCTGCAAGTCGAAAGCAATTGACGGTGTTTCTAAAGAAACGGAACGCGCGTCGGACGGCGACGAGTTTTTTTGGAAGTGGCATTCAAGAAGGGTACACCGGAGTGGCTGATGCAGGCTAACGTAGGCGATAAAAACCTAAATTTGAAGGTGGACATCGGCTCCCAAGTTAACTTACTTCGCTTGAACTGGCTGAGCGACTGCAGTATTCAAGTCAAGCTGCAAGAGAGCAAAGTGACGTTGCGAAGCTACAGTGGCGATGTTATCAAGCACGCTGGCATGCTTATCTTGCTAGAAAAGACAGTCGACTTGAAATGCTTTGTGGTGAACAAGAGACACGCGCTTCTGGGGCTTGCGGCAAGCGAACAGCTCGGCCTTGTCCAGCAATTTGCAGCCGTGTCTGCAGTGCCTTCAAAAGTTCAGCCAGAATCGGCGCCCCTCCGAGAGTGTGTCATGAAGGACTATCCAAAGCTGTTCCGTAGTCTGGGATGTTTTTCGAATGCCTACAGCATCGTTCTCCAACGACGGTTCCCGTCCGGTTGTTCAGCTTCCACGACGTGTGCCTCACCTGCTGTAGCATCCGTTGAAAGAAGAACTGGAGAGGATGACGGCGGCAGGCATCATTGCGAGGATTGACGAGGCAACTGAGTAGGTGAGCCCCTTGGTCCTCATTCGAAAAAAAGACCGGCTGCCTAATAATTTGCAAGAACCCTCGCAACCTCAATGAATGCTCAAGATGACCAAACGCGAGGACATCGAAGCAGAACTAACGAATGTCCGAGTATTTTCAAGATTAGAAGCGAATTCTGATTTCTACTAGATTCCACTGACAACGACAGCTCGCGACTTAGCACGTTTAGCACCCCCCTTTTGGGTGTTACTGGTTTCTCCGCGTGCCATTTGGTCTGGCATAAGCACCGGAAGTCTACCAAAAAGCTATGCCTCAGGTTTATGACGGCCTTCCGGGTGTCAGGGTTTACATAGATGATGTGCTGATGTGGGGCGCAAACAATAGCGAACATGGAGGGCGCCTACGAGCAGCTTTGAGTTCTGCTTAACGTAACGGAATCACCCTGAATCCAGAGAATTGTGAAATAGGTGCCGAAGATATTGTTTTTCTAGGTGACAGAATCATTGAGAAGAGCATCCAGCCTTCACCGGTCCTGATCGACAGTGTCTTCCAGATACCAGATCCTACCAACAAGCAAGAACTCCAGCGAGTCCTTGGCATCGCCACCTACATCGGAAAATGTCTGCCTCATTTTTCTGAAAAGACGGCCCTACTCCGCGAGCTGCTCAAGATAACCGAGACTTCACTTGGGGACCAGAACACAACAAGGAGCTGGACAGCATCAAGGTTTCCCTCACCAACGCGCCTGTCCTTGTAGTCTACGACCCGAGCAAGCAGACGAAGATCTCAACAGATGCCTCAAGGTACGGTCTCGGTGCTGCACTCTTCCAGAAGCAAGGCCCCGAGTGGCGGGCGACCAGTAGACTTACAGCTCAAGATGCTTAACAGATTGCGAAACCAGATATTCCCAAATTGAGAAGGAAACTCTGGGAACTGTGGACGGCTGCGAACAATTTCACGATTTCCTTTATGGCCGGAAAGTACTAAAAGAAACTGATTATCAGACTTTGATTGCAATATCAAAGAAATCTCAGGGTGACATGCGCCCCAGATTGCAACGGCTTTTCTTGTGACTAATGAAGTTTGACTACCACTTTAGTTATGTGCCTGGCAAACTTCTTGTTCCAGCAGACACGCTATCCAGAGCGCCAAGCCCCTACAGCCAGATGGTACCGAACGACAACGACGACGTCGAGGTCCACGCGGTTCCTTTCCGTTCCAGTGCGGTGAGTGAAAGGACAGGCAGGGCACTTGTACAAGAAACAGCACGGGATATTGTCCTGTCAAGAATCGTGGAAGCTCTTTTAAATCATCAACTGTTCATTGACCAATACAATTAAGTCTTATTCCTCGGAACTTTCAGTTAATGGTGGACTGCTGTTCAAAGGAACCAAAGTGGTGATACCCAAAGTGTTAACTGACCCGAAATGCTCCGGAAGCTGCATGCGAGTCACTTGCGAATAACGAAGTCAAAAGCAAAAGCTCGCCGATTGATGTTTTGGCCCGGAATGTCTCAACTTCTCAAGAGATCACTGTGAAACGTGCAAGGTTAACTCGTATGCTCAGCCCGAAGAACCGCTGTTGATGAGACCATCTTCCGGTTCTCCGGGGACAAGAGTAGGAGCAGAGTTATTTCAACATGCAGGCAAAACATATCTGGTTATCTATAATGCCCACTCTAATTACCCCGAAGTTAAGCAACCAGAAAGCACCTCAGCTCCTGTTGTAATATCAAAAACTGTTGTCTATACTTGTAAGACATAGCATACCGCTCGGGGCCTTGACAGATAACGGGCCCCAGATCAGCTCCAGAGAATTCGCGACTTTCGCAGCAGACTACGACTTCAGGCACATCACCTCGAGTCGATTTCTGCGATCCAATGCGCTAGCCGAGAAAGGCGTGCAAATCATCAAACGTATCCTGAAAAAGACTTGCTCTGCAGGAGGGGACTTCTATCAAGGTCTGCTGAACTACAGAACTTCGCCCCTCGAGAGCGGTCAAATCCCAAGCGAGCTTCTGATGGGACGTGGTTTACGCTGTGGTCTACCAGACTTCAGCATGTCACCGGGTGATCCACCCACAAATCGGATGCAGCGGCGCACTACCAGAGGAGCATAACCAGGACTGCGCCCACACAATGTCGTTCGTATGAGAAGTGACAAAGGATGAACGACAAAGGCAAAAGTGAGGACGAAGTTTCTCCGCGTTCCTACAAGGTTGTCACCGAGAATGGTGCGGAGTATCACACAAACAGGCAGCACATGCGGACTACTCCAGACGCCTTCAACATCGACAGACATCCCGAATAGTGGACCACAGCGCGAGCTGCACAAGAAAGCCCGATGACAGACTCTTCAGGCGAGATCTCAATGGAGTCGGAGCCAAGAGAGTCGCTGCTTCAAGACCAGGACGGTCCGCAGCCCTTTGTGGATCTTAGCCCTCGGGTCAGCGCTCATGCACCTGATTTAACACCAGTCCGACATTCTAACCGGACGCGTCGGGTTCCACGAAGACTCAGCAATGGCCATAATTTTGATAAGAGTGTTAAGCACCTTTGGTTACCGAAAGGGAGGTGTAACTGCATCACTATCCTCATCTGGCAACAATGTCCTAGAAGTGGCTAGGCATTAAACCGGCCCCTACGGGCACTCGAGTCGCAGCACATATATCGTTCACTTCGTCTTGTGGGTCTTCTTTACTAACGACGCACTCTGGAAGTCGTTACAGCGTGTCGCAGACGATTGTGATCGTCTGCAATCATGAAGAACAACGTGGACTGGGTGGGCATGATTAGTCGAATTTCAATCCGATAGTATCGCATTAGTGAAAATTCCACTTTTTACACCATTCTAATTTGTAGAAGTCAGCAGCCCGACGTGCAACTTCCACAAGTCAACGCGTGTGTTCGTCCCTTTGAGAAGCGAAGGAATGCAGAAAATGGCACTGGCCATAAGCTCGTTATTGGAACGGTTAAGGATATTGCCCGACATTACTGTATTATGCAGTGTCATATGGAAAAAATAAGATAAATAACAAAGCATTATCAGACGTTCCAGAAAACTGGAGTCACCTGGCTCATTCTTTACCAGAATGTGAGGACATCATATAATGCCCAACTCCCAAAACAACACAGATATATTGATCCTGACTCATCCCTGCACCCTTCTAACCATTTTTGAACTTGTTTCGCAAACACCATATTGAACCTCTTATCACGCTGTCAAAAACGTTAACATAATTATCATCGTGTTCAAGACAGCACGCACAAGCCATGTCAGATGGCGTATTTGCGGTATTACATGAGCTTAGATGGTGTAGTTCCAACTTACGAACAATCAACAAGCTTGTACAAATCTACCAACACCGAACACCGCATGTTTTCTTCCGATACATTACCTAACTTACAAAGTAAATCAATTTACCTGGTTCGCCGCCCGCGTCACGTTCAACACTGTGTTGTAATAGTCGCCGCTGTGATGAGAGTAGTTTCCAAGTGCCATGTGGGCAAACCGCCGGTAGGTCTCGCTTTCCAACCACCCAGATGGCACATAAACACACGCCGGGGCTTCGGCGTCAGGTGCAAGCTCCCTGCAACCCTCGAAGTAACCATTCCCCAGGCCCAGAGCGGCCAGAATGGTCGTCGCTGCAACGATGACTAGTCCCTGCATCCTTCTAACCATCTGAACCGTCTTCTGGAGGGACGCGCCGCCGTAGAAGGCTCTGCTTTCGACAAGCCACAGACGCTGCTATCTTCCAGAGTGCCGACGCTATCAGGCACTGCTAGGCGGGGCGCTAACCTGTGACGTCATAGGCACATATTTGGCAAGGGTGTGGGCTTTTTGTGTACAATAGTCACGTGATGCCGGCTACGGCCGTTTCCGGGATGAACCGGGACGTGTCCAATCACCTGCGCTTCCGCCCCCCCGTTCTATATTAAACGGCGCGGTCTGGGCCTCTAAACTCGTTTAACGCAAAGTTGGGGCCGAAGTTTATGGAGCGCGCCGGTTCGACTGTCGCGACGATGAATTCTCGCTTTTATCGCCGGCATCCAATCGGCGTGCTCCGCGAACTTTCGACTAAACCTTTGACGAATTTATGGCCCCAGGACATATGATGGGCGGCCGTCTGTCTGCGCTCACTATAACTGGAGTGGGGTGACAAAAGAAGTAAATCATTTACCGGCTTTATGCGATCGGTGTCATAATAAATTGGAGTCCGCTCCGGCGTGCTTATTTTCCGGTCAGGAAGGGTGGGTCGAATGCAACGCATGGCCGATCAAGACAAGCGGCTAATATCCGCTTAGTTACAGGAGTAAGCCTATGTTTTCTTTTGTATATTAGTATTTAGGGCCTATTCGTGAGAGCGTTCAAAGCGGGAAACTTATTTTGCCTTTAATGAAGCATCGACGGCACACTGTACCAAGCATATGACACACACGAAGCCATGAAGTGACAGTATTACGAGAACATACCTATGTATGAGTCAGTTTGTTAGTAGGCTACAAAAAACACAGTTGTGTTTTCTTTCATTTTTTTTCTGAAAATACTTTTATTTAGTTAATCAAGTTTTCTTTGTTCTTTTTAATAGAAGCTCTTTTAGTCCGCGTACCTCAGCGGAAGGGCTCTTGAAGAGTACGAAGCTAGAAAGACATAGTGAAGCTATACGGTTCTGTAATCCAAAGGACCATCACCTTTGCACTCTAGATATATCACCCAGGTAGCTTTTGTCTCTACAGCTTGCAAACATGTATGACTTCGCACGTGAGTTGTGGGCACTGGGCCCGTGCACCAACCCGGTTTTCAAAGAGCCTGGCCTGATATCAGAAATATGAGCTGGAGCGTTATAAAACACACGCGAAAAGAATTAGATCTGGGGCCCTAATTTGGACACTCCGCGAAAAATGGCACACGCACTTAGCGGCCCAAAGATCCTAGTATGACGTCACGACTGGTTGAAGTTTTTTTCGTGTTTTCTTGCGCTTAGTTTCATCTTCGCGCAAAACTAACGTCATATTAAGGTTTTAAGAGATACAAATACGCCGGAACTCACCCCTAACTCGTTTTTTTTTTTTTTTTTCAAGAAGTTTTTTAGCCTTTTTCTAACCTACGCAAAAAAAAAAATGAAAGCCGTTTACAACTCCCTGTAACGCCGAATTAGAGCGCAGCTCTTGAGGAGGAGGAGGGAAGGGTACTGGGGGGGGGGGGGGTCAAGTGACCTCGGGGGGCGGGGGGTCACGTGACCTTGGGGGTCACGTGACCTTGTAGGAGTCACGTGACCTTGGGGCGTCACGTGACGTCGGGGGGTCACGTGACGATACCGATGACGTCATCAGTAGCGTCACTGATGACGCCATCAGTGATGATGATGACGATGCGGATGCCGGTGACGTCATTAATGACGTCACTGATGACGTCATCAGTGACGATGACGATGCGGATGCCGGTGACGTCATCAGTGACGTCACTGATGACGTCATCAGTGGCTATGACGTCAACGGGGGTCACGTGACCTCGGGGGGTATCCCCAGGTCACGTGACCCCAGGGGGGGGTCACTTGACCTGGGTAACCATCGTGACCCTCGTGAGGGTAACCCTAGTAACCCTTGTGAGGGCAACTCTCGTGACCCTCGTGAGGGTAACTCTCATGACCCTCGTGAGGGTAACTCTCGTGACCCTCGTGAAGGTTACCCTCACGAGGGTTACTAACCCTCGCAAGTTACCCTCACGAGGGTTACTAACCCTCGTAACCCGCGTGAGGGTTACGAGGGTAAGTAACCCTCGTGAGGGTCACGAGGGTTATGAGAGTTACCCTCACGAGGGTAACCTAACCCTCGTAACCCTTTTGAGGGTTACGAGGGTTAGTAACCCTCGTGAAGGTTACCCTCACGAGGGTTACTAACCCTCGTAACCCTCAAAAGGGTTACCTTCACGAGGGTTACCCTCACGAGGGTTACTAACCCTCGTAACCCTCGTGAGGGTTACAAGGGTAAGTAACCCTCGTGAGGGTAACCCTTGTGAAGGTAACCCTTCTGAGGGTAAAAACCCTCGTAACCCTCGTGAGGGTTACGAGGGTAAGTAACCCTCGTAACCCTCACGAGGGTTACGAGGGTTGCGGTTACGCCGACGGCGACGGCGACGCCGACGCCGACGCCGACGGCGACGCCGCTCAAGCCGGGAACGGGCCCCTAAGAGCTGCGCTCTAAAAGTGTCTTCTCGATAGAATCGTTTGACAACAACCGATGCTGCGAAATGACCGAGCCACCCCAGCGGTGCCAAAAATACATGGTCAAAATACTCGTCGTCTTAATGCATTTTGCTATGACCGGCTCCTTTTTGCTTTTTCTGCACGCGATTTGTTTACCCGGTGATAGCAGGCGTGCAGAAACGAGCAGGGCCGTGACGATGTACTTTCTGGCTCCACTTGATTCCCTCCAGCGGACTGTAGCGGGGGCCTGTGTCACGCATAGAGTGAAACGAAAGAGCGAAGAGATGAACAAGCGTTTGCTCGAGCGTTTGCAATTGGTTCTCAAGGTGTATCCCGGCGAGAATAAGTTGGAGTAAACATTCGACTAGAAACCTTGAGACTGAGAAGAGAAGAGCCGAGCAAACACAAAATCTCAAACACAGCTGAAATTGAAAAAAAAAAAAGAAAGGATTGACTTGCTTTGTATGTTTATATAGCCTTGATATTGGAACACCTCAACGGGTGACAGGTCGCTTAGATATCAGCGAGAAATTAAGCCAATGCAGTACCATCGCTAAAATCGGATTTTTAACGTGCATCACGCAGTAGTGATTACACGAACGCGTGACGGTGCGAAACTCATCCCGTTTCAAAGGGACGGGGGCGGTGGCGATCGAACCCACGAGGTTCTCAGCGCAAGCTTTCGCTCCACGCTCCGAGCTGAGACGCGTTAGCTCACTTGGCCGTCGATTTTTTTTTCTTCTTAATTCACTTTGCCACCGATGCCTCCCCCCCCCCCCCCCTAAACTTTATTTGACAACGAAAGCAACCTTTACAATAGAACTGAGAAGCAGTGACCTCCTCTAAAAAACACAATATATATAAAAAAAAAAATTTCATCGCTGTTTACACCGGAAATGCCCCCTTCTCCCCCCCCCCCCCAACCCCCCCCCCCCCAAAAAAAAATAATCCAAAAATGAAAGACGTTTTAAGGATCACTCAAAACGTACTCTTTTAACTCTAGAAAAACAAGGACGCAGCAAACCAAACGACCAGGAACCTAACAAAAAGCGAACTGATCTTGATAAAACTTGAACTTGAATGAAAGCAACAAAACCTCCTAGGCCGCAACGAATCATTTCACCTAACGCGCCAAGGCATCAGATTTGTTTGAACCTTCTCTGCTGTGTATCCAAAATGAGGGCAGGCTTATCGCTGGAGTCGCCTAATAGCGGAGTTGGAGTCCCTTAAATAGGGTGTTACCATTATTTAGAGGTCCACAAATTCGTAAGCGTCTGCAACACCAATTGCATCCTCCAAGGTAAGTTCGAATGGCCACTATTCGCGTCAGATGGCATACACATTGGTGATCAATATACTCGCGTTTCCACCAAAAAAAAGGGTGGTAAAAAAAGTATGTTTTCTTGGGGTGTATTATTAATTTACCTGTTTTATGTGGAGTATCGAGATATGCTGTATGTAAGTGCAGTTTAGATTACATACACGTTATCTTATCAAAACGTGCGCGTTTCATACGCCTCTATTTTTTTTTTTCTTGAGGGGCAACGTGTCGATTGCGTTTTCTTGATAAATTAAATTCACTGATGAACTAAGAAATGCAGGGGAGACGTGGGGCTTTCTTGGTGTCTGATTGGTTCAGCCGGGAACGCACAGAAATGAAAGCACAATTGCTTGGTTTGAAAACTAACTTTTTCTTTCGCAAAAAGCGCCGTGACGGTGCACTTTTTCGCGGATGCTCGATTGTCCCCATCAGATCGGAGTGTCCGCTAACTGAGTTTATGGATTACATATCGAAACATTCTCGGCTCGGCGGTGGTAATTAAGACGGTGAAATTATCGACGAACTCACCTATCAATCAACTTCCTGCATTCAGACCTATACTGGTCTGTTCAACTGACGAAAGAATACCTCAATCGTCTTTGGATAATAGCAAAAAATTAATAGGGCTGGGAACGTGATCATGTGCCATACAGCTGCTGCTGCCGCAGCGCGTTATCTTTAGTATATATTCTCCAAGCTCCAACTTCCACCGGATAAGAAATAAGTGTCGGTATAGCATAGCGACGTATTAGCAGTGTTGCGTAAGTCAATGTAGAAGGCAATAACTTCTTAGAAAGGAACCAGCTGTGCGATAAGATTTATAAAAAATAGCCGCCGACATAAAAGAGTTAGTGCAAAACGTTTTATTACCAAGATTCCAATAACGATGTGTTTCCGGTTACGGCACTTTTCTACTCACATTATGGGGTCCTTCTGATGTATGAGTGATTACGAGAGCTCCGTCAATGCCTGCGATATAGCTTGCATAATGGAGTAAGCGTAAGTTCGCGTATAGGGCAATGTAACTTATACTAGAGGCCCTGCTATCAGTCAGCTTGGTAAATTAGAAGTTCAGCGGATATGTATGTGCTCTGCGAAAACGTTAATGTGTTGATAACCCTTATATGTAATGAAAAATGCCGTTGTGGGCGACGCTGGGTCAATCTAAGTATAGGGTACAGCACTTCCTTTGCTTTCTTGTCTCGGAAAGTCTGCAATCACCTCTCTGGTGCCTCCCGCGTGGAGCTCCAAAAAAAAAAAAAAAAGAGAGAAAGGTTAAGAAGTTTAGTTATTTATTTACGATACACTACATATCATCCCAGACCCAGGCAATATAGGACAATGACATGAAAGAATTTCAATTTCCCTGGCGTACTACTGACACGAGGGAAAAAAATAAATATGCAAGGTGTGCCGCCGAACAAATCACAGACAGTGCTTCTGAGTCCCAATATATCGTAAAAGAGCGTGCGAGCAATCACCGCGCCAAAGCTATCGGCCATGAAACAACCTACAATGCCCAAAAAGGAAAGGAACAGCAAAACCACATCAGCATCCGAACACCCGACTTCATTTTTGCATGACATAAAACCAATTCTACAACGTACACAAATTCGTTTAAATCCTGCTCATCTTATAATACTTCACGTTGATGTCTGAAGCTGCGAATGAAGAAATACGCAAGGGATGTAATCACAAGTTCAACATGTTCGCTGCAATGGGCGCGAGAACGAAGACGTCAGATGCCGTCCTTCAGGCTCATTTAAGCGTTTTACAGACCACCACCAGAACTCTATGTGGCAGATTATAGTCGAATCCTGCTTGACACCAACCATTTGCCTGCAAAATAAAGAGAAACAAATATATACATTTAAAAAATATACATCGTTTTACCTTCAGTTCAGATCAACGCCAGGAGCTGATGGAATTAATCAGACGGCATCAAAAGCGGACCATCATGCATGGTGTTTGTCCTTTTTGTGTATTCGTGTTCCATCATAGCTTAACCATTCGAACAGAAATTACCCGGTGGCTTATGCTTTTTACGCGGCCTGATAAGCTGAAAGGAAATATAGGCTTTTTTTTTGTCAACGAATATGCACACCGAAAATCTACTGTCAAAAAACACGCAGTAAAGATTTGTTTGTAGTGAATTCGATAAAATAAAAATACACCGCTTTTATTTTTGCCGACATCTTAATTTTAGACTCTTGTTGACCAACGCCATTCGTGAGCAAGCCGCTGGTAATTTTTTTTATCCCTTTTTTCAGTATTCCTGCGATATGACTATTACGAGGACTCCATTGCGTTCAAACCATGGCTCACATTTCGCTTGTTTTATTTTTCTGGTAAGACCGGATACCTGTTATTCGTTTTAGGCACTCAGATTTGCCACTATCTGTTCTGATAAATATGCCCGTACTAAACCCAAATGCAATATATCAAATAAACGCCGTAAGGCATAGCTTATCAGGAGCTGTGCCTCTACTTTCCTAAGATTATGCAGAACTTATTAAGTTATCCAAAGACAACTACGATAACGACAATTAACTAGCTTTATGTAGTGCTTATGAATAAATAAGGAAAGCTAATATATAACCAATTTAAGAGAAGAAAACTATTACGGAGACAAAACGATAGATCAAACTATCGGTGCTTATCCTTTTCAACGCGCATGTGCTACAAACTTATTTTGCTCGAATGATCTGGCACTTTTTGATAAAATGCGAAATCTTGCAGACACTTCACCAACAGCGCGGATCAAAGGAGATATGATTTTATACGTGGCTTGTATCGACGTCTCATCAGCGTCTATTGAGAGGGACCTTGCAATCTACGCGCATGCATTCTGAAGCAGAAATTTGGCATTACGGAGGTTGTTTTGTTTTCGTTTTTCCCGGCAATAACATGTAGTAATGATTATTTGTACTGTGTGATGGCGTCACGCACATGCAGGCTATGTGCAACAAAGGACAACGTCTCGAATGAACCAATTCATATACCAGGAATTAACTGCGGCAGTCAGCAAATGCACAATGAGCAACACCATTAGTGCGAACGTGAAATCGGAGCTTTTCTGCGATACTCGGGCAGAATACTGACGCCCAGAAAAGCTTTTCTTTGAGGTCACTGCCCTCCTTCCTCTCCACCTGCTTGGGAATCTTCGGTAAGGGCTTTCACCTGCTTCTCTTCCTTCACACTGATTAGAGAGTTTTAGTATATCGTTTCTATGACTCCGATACCCCTCGATAGCATTGATAAAAGCTGCCGTTTGCCACGGGACGATTGACGGAGGCTTCGTGATCGAACGACGCACACCCACTCGTGGTCTCCGTGCACCGCAGAAAAGCGCGCTTGATCAGGCAGTTGCGGCTTGGCTTAATTAATTAAATGATTGGAAAAGTCTGTATTTTTAATACCACATTTCATGAGCATAATGGCGCTGTAAGCATTCTACGACCTTGGCAAATGGAATCAAGAAGATTGTGCGAGATGTTCAATCGGCAGCGTTTACAGAACGCACGACTAAAATCGGTCCAAGAGGGTAGACTTCAGTGTACGTCTATAATATTGGGTTTGGCATATGAAAGAGCCAGAAACGCTATACGAAAAGTGCCTATCTTTCTCGAATGTGCCATAACGTTTGCTTTTTGCCAAGTTATCGCGAAACGAAGCATGGCACATAAAAAGGAAAAACTGGCGATGGCGATGGCTCATTCGTGCTAACAGTTTCGCTCAGTGTACGTGTCTGTACCTTGTTACTGGTAGGTCGACAGAGCTTCTCCGAGTAGACGGGCGTATCGGTCACCTTGCAGCTGCTCCGGACGGTTGTGAATTCCACGAACGTGCCTTTTCCCATGCCGTTTACAATGAAGATCCGCTAGAGGCACGCAATAAGAGAATGAAAGCAATGGCGATGTCTCCTTTCCCAAGCGCCGAGCATTGTTTCAGCTATTTACAGTCGCTGATAGGATTAGAACGACAGGGAAGTCATTTGGTTGTCCCGGGACTTGTGATCCTCGAGAGTGCACGCCAGCACGACGGAAGGCTGCGAACGGGCGCTGGAGGCCGTGCATTGGTAAGAAACGCTCTGCCGTTTTCATACTGCCAGCCTCATTTCGTCAATCAGGAAATATCCGTTATCAAAGCTTCGCGAAGCACTTTTCACAGGCCGTACTTTGAAGCACCATGGACAGTCCTCGGCATTCATCAGGCATATTTTACACTTATCGAAATTTTCTAATACATTGATTTTGTTCACAGGCTCTCTTGAGTATGCCGAAGGTATACAGTTAGATGAGTATGACAGTAGTGTGTCGCAGACGATTGTGATCGTCTGCGATCAGGAAGAAGGAAGTGGACTAGGTTGGTGTGATTAATTTTGGTCCGATAGTTTCGCAGTAGTGAAAATTCGACTTTTAACACCATCCTAATTTTTACTTGTCAGCAGCACGACATGCAACTTCCACCAGTGAACGCGTGTGTTCGTCAATTCGAAAAGCGAAGAAACAAAGAAAATGGCCAGAATCTCCTTACTGAAACGGTTTATGCTATTTCCCGAAATTACTATATCATGCAGTGCAATATGAAAAAAGTATATATATATATATATATATATATATATAAATGAAAAAGCATTATCAGACGTTTTAGAAAACTGGAGGCACCTGGCTCATTCTTTAACAGAATGTATGTACAGTGCTTCTCAAACTTACCGTCGCCACTGGGTTCCCAATCATTGAGCTCGTGTCGGTTACTTACTGTTAAATTTGTCATCAAAACGTTCGGCATGCCTTCTCGAAATAGGATAGAAATCGGGAACCCAAACATTCTTCAGATAGTTCGATTGGCCGGTGCAGGGAGTGTGAGAAATGGCAAATGCGCTGGCGGCGTTAAGTTTGAGGCGCACTAGCTGTACATCATAGCATGTCAAACTCCCAAAGCAACACCGATACCTTGCTTTTTGCTTTTTGCACCGGTTTCGCAAACACTATATCGAATCTCTTTGACGCTGTCTAGAACGTCAACATAGTATTATTGCGTTCAAGACAGCACGCATACATTTGCGGTAATGCATGAGCTTAAATGGTGCATTTCCAACTTACAAAGAATCGACAAGCTTGCTCGAATCTACCAACACCAAACACCGCTCGATTTTTGCAGATACGTGACCTAACTTACAAAGTAGATCAATTTACCCGGATCGACGCCCGAGTCAAGTTCAGCACTGTGTTGTAATAGTCGTCGCTCCAAAAAGGGTACTTTCCAAGTGCCACGTGAGGAAACCGCCGGTAGGTGTCGCTTTCCAGCCACCCAGGCGGCACATAAACACACCGCGGACGGATTTTGACGTCGGGTTCATGCTCCCTGCAACCCTCGAAGAAATCATTCCGGTAGCCGATATCGGCTAGAACGGTCACCGCCGCAACGATGACTGATCCCTGTATCCTTCCAACCATCTCAGCCGTCTCCTGGAGGGACGGGCCGTAGATGGTTCTGCTTTCGACAAGCCACAGACGCTGCTACCTTCCGAATGGCTGACGCTATCATAGGCACTCCTAGGCGAGGCGCTCACCTGTGACGTCATAGGCACATATTTTTCCAAGCGTGTGGGCTTTTTGTGTCCAATAGTCACGTGATGTCGTCTACGGCCCTTTCCGGGATGAACCGGGACGTGTCCAATCACCGGCGCTCCCGCTCCTCGTTCTATATTAAATGTCGCGCTCTGGGTTTCTAAACTCGTCAAACACATAGCTGAGGCTGTAGATCACGGAACGCGCCGATTTGACTATCACGATGATGACTTCGCACTTCTGTCGCCGGCGTCCAATCGGCTCGCTCCGCGAACGTTCGGCTCCAACTTTGTGTTTGAAGAGTTTAGGGCCCCAGGATTTATGATGAGCGGCCGTCTGGGTGCTTTCACTATAACTGGAGTGTGGTAGCGAAAGAAGTAAATCATGAACGGGCTGATCGCGGAATTCTGATGCAATTCCGCGATCAGTCTCATAAAATAAGAGCCCGCTCAGGCGTTCCTATGTTCCTGTCAGGAAGAACGAGTCGGGTGCAACGCATTTGCGATCACGAAGAGCGGGCTAATATACGTTTAGTTACAGGAGAAAGCCTGTGTTTTGTTTTATGTACACGTATTTAGGCCCTATTCGTGCGAGCGTTCAAAGTGGGCAACTTCTTTTGCGTATAATGAAGCATCGACGGCACACTGTACCAAGCATATGAAACGCACGAAGCAATGAAGTGACAGTATTACGACAACATAACTTTGTGCGAGTCAGTGTGTTTGTAGGCTACAAAAAACACAACTGTGCTTTCTTTTATTCATTTGTTTTAATTACTATATGTTTAATCATTCAAGTTTCTTTCAAAACAAAAAAAAAGGTCGTTTACTCCAGGAACCTCAACGAAAGTTCTTGAAGATTACGGAGCTAGAACGACATAGTAAGAACTATAATAATATTATTAAGCTCTATTTTTATTTCCTATTACAGGTAATGATGGGGCCGAGAATAAAAGCCTCGATAGACAGCTTGACAAGCTCTCGGCCCCAGTGACATTCTGCAATAGTCACTGGGAACAAAGTAAAACACAAAGGTTCTGGGAGCCGAGGGTGAAAGTCGAGGCAGAGGACCTGACAGGCGGTCGGCTGAGAAGTCACAAGCTGGCGCGAGACAATGTGGGCTGACCGAGGATGAAGCTGGTCAAAAACGTCGGAGCCGGGCTGCCTGACCTGGCCCATGGCGAACCCCGGAGCGGTCCACCAGCGATGTGTGGAGCAAGACCGATGGAAACGGCGAGCCCTGGCCATATGACCTGGACTGTCACGATCCCGGTTTGGTTCCACAGCGAGACTCGGGCATTGATAACCCGGGACAGCCATTCTACGCAGCGTTGGCGTAGGAAAGCCGATCCGCAGGCCTGGACACGGACTCCGACTGTGAGGTCTGATCGACGGGCGACAACAGGGGTCGGCGGGCCTGGACTGCCGGCTCTCGACGACGGGCAACCGGGAGGTACAGTAAACCCATTCGCTGTCTTCTCGTTGTGTCATGTAACTCCCTGGGTGACGGGCGGAGCGTATACCGATCGGGCGGCGATTATTAGTAGAGGGACCTCCATAATGAACCCCACATTCAAATGGCGAATCCAACGTGGGGCCCATTCGGTATGCCTCTGCTTCCAGTCGTCCCCAGGGAGTCGCATGGATTCGATAAGCGGGTTGTTCACTAACGCCAACGATGCCCGTTGAGACAAAGTATGTTGGAATTTTGGCGACTTGTCTCACAGCAGAGTTCAGCAGGTGTCTCCTCGAATCAAGTACTTAAAGGGCTCGAAGGACGAGGTTGCGAACGCGCTTTCTCGGGCACCCCAGAATAGGGTACCCGAGAAGTCATGTACCGAAGGCACAATTGGTACACAAATGCAAAGGCATCTATTAAACAGAAAGGTATCTGTCTCTCAAAACGTTTTATTTGGTTCCTGGGAGGTGATTCAAGAAAGTTCGCCAGAAACATAATTCACCAGCAAAAAAAAAACAAAAAAAAAAAACATAATTGTGTTTTTTGTGATTTACTAACATACTGACTCACAAAAAGTTATGTTGTCGTAATACTGTCATTTAATTCCTTCGTGTGTGTCATATGCTTGGTACAGTGTGCCGTCGATGCTTCATTATAGACAAAAGAAATTGCCCGTTTTGAACGCTCTCCCGAATAGGGCCTAAATACGTGTCTACAATACAAAACATAGGCCTACTCCTGTAACTAAGCGGATATTAGCCCGCTTCTCATGATCGTTCATGCGCTGCATCCGATTCGTCCTTCCTGACAGGAAAATAGGAACGCCGGAGCTGGCTCTTATTTTACGACAGCGATCGCGGAAAGCCCGTAAATGATTTACTGTTTTCGCTACCACATCCTAGTCATAGTGAAAGCACACAGACGGTCGCTCATCATAAGTCTTGGGGCCCTAAACTCGTCAAACACAAAGTTGGAGTCGAAAGTTCGCGGAGCGCGCGAATTGGATGCCGGCGACAGAAGCGCAAAGTCATCATCGTGATATCCAATCGGCGCGCTCCGTGAAGTACAGCCCCAACTATGTGTTAAACGAGTTCAGCGGCCCAAAGCGCGACATTTAATATAGAACGGGGAGCGGAAGCGCAGGTGATTGGACACGTCCCGGTTCATCCCGGAAGTGGCCATAGCTAGCACCACGTGACTACTGTACACAAAAAGCCCACACCCTTGAAGAGTATGTGCCTCTGAGGTCACAGGTGAGCGCCCCGCCTACGAGTGCCTATGATAGCGTCGGCATTTGGGAAGATAGCAGGCGTCTGTGGCTTGTCGAAAGCAGAACCATCTACGGCACGTCCCTGCAGAAGACGGCTCAAATGGTCAGAAGGATGCAGGGATTAGTCATCGTTGCGGCTATGACCGTTCTGGCCGCTCTCGGCTTACGAAATGATTTCTTCGAGGGTTGCAAGGAGATTGAACGCGACGCCGAAACCCAACCGGAGTGTGTTTATGTGCCGCCTGTTTGGATTGAAAACGAGCCCGTCCGGCGGTTTCCCTACGTGGCACTTCGAAAGAACCCTTTTCGGAGCGGCGGCTACTACAACACTGTGTTGAACTTGACGCGGGCTTCGATCCGGGTAAATTGATTTACTTTGTAAGTTAGGTCATGGATCGGAAGAAAGCGTGCGTGCGTTGTTTGGTTTGATAGATATTAACAGACTTGTTAATTGTTCGTAACTTGAAACTGCACCATTTAAGCTCATGCATTACCGTACATAGACCATCTAAGATGGCGTATAATCTGGATGGCAAATACGCGATCCAGATTATACGCCATAATTTTTAGTTCCATAATCCACATAGCGAAATGTTATACTGGGTTTTTCGGTAGGGCCATGCTGTCTTAAAAGAGACAATACATATGTTGACGTTTTAGACAGCGTGAAAGAGATTCGATATAGTGTTTGCGAAACAGGTGCAGAAAGCAAAAAGTAAGATATCGGTGTTGTTTTGGGAGTTTGACATGCTATAATGTACAGTGTGCCTCAAAATTAACGCCGCCATGGCCTTTGCCGTTTCTGACAATCCTTGCTCCTGCCAATCGAATTTTCTGAAGAATGTTTGGGTTCCCGATTTTTATCCCATCTTGAAAAGGCATCGCGAACGTTTTGGTGACAAATTTAACAGTAAGTAACCGACACGAGCTCAATGATTGGGAACCCAGTGGCGGCGGTAAGTTTAGAGAGCACTGTACTCACATTCTGTTAAAAAATGAGCCAGGTGACTCCAGTTTTCTGGAACGTCTGATAATGCTTTGTCATTTATATATATATATATGTTTTTTTTAATACTGCCCTGCACGGTGCAGTAATTTCTGGAAATAGCGTAAACCGTTCCAATAATGATCTTCTGGCCATTTTATGCGTTCCTTCGCTTCTCAAAGTGACGAGCACATGCGTTGACTTGTGGAAGTCGGACGTCGCGCTACTGAGTAGTAAAAATTAGAATGGTGTTAAAAGTCGAATTTTTACTAATGCGATACTATCGGACCAAAATTAATCACGCCAACCTAGTCCGCTTCGTTCTTCCTGATCGCAGACGATCACAATCGTCTGCGCCACACTACTGTCATACTCATGTAACTATAGCTTCGGCGTACGCAAGAGGGCCTGTGTACAAGAACGATGTATTCGAAAAGGTCGATAAGTGTAAAACACCCCTGATGAATGCCAAGGACTCTCCATGGTGCTCCAAAGTACGGCCTGTGAAGAGTGCTTCGCGAAGTTCTGATAACGGATATTTCCTGATTGACGAAATGGAGCTGGCAGTATGACAACGGCGGAGCGTTTCTTACCAATGCACGGCCTCCAGCGCGCGTTAGCTGCCTTCCGTCGTGCTGACGTGCACTCTCGAGGATCACAAGTCCCGGGACAACCAAATGACTTCCCTGCCGTTCTAATCCTGTCAGCGACTGTAAATAGCCGAGACAATGCTCGGGGCTTGGTAAAAGAAACATCGCCATTGCTTTCATCTACTACTGCCTGCCTCTAGCGGATCTTCATGGAAAAAGGCATACGAGTCGGCGCGTTCGTGGAATTCACAACTGTCCGGAGCAGCTGCAAGGTGACCAATACGCCCGTCTACTCGGAGAAGCTCTGTCGACCTACCAGCAACAAGGTACAGACACGTTCACCAGCCGAAACTGTTAGCACTAATAAGCGATCGCCATCGCCAGTTTTTCCTCTTTGTCTGCCAAGCTTCGTTTCACAATAACTTGGCAAAAAGCAAGCGTTACGGAACATCTAAAAAAAATAGACAGCTTTAGTATAGCGTTGTTGGCTCTTACGTACGCCAAGTGCAATAGTATAGACGTATGCTGAAGTCCACCCGCTCGGACCAATTTTAGTTGTGCGTTCCATAAACGCTGCCAAATGAACGTCTCGGATGGTCTTCTTGATTCAATTTGCCAAAGCCGTAAAATTCCGCGTGCTTACAGCGTCATCATGTAGGTGTGCGTCGTTCGATCACGGAGCCTCCGTCAATCGTCCCGTGGCAAAGGGCACTTTTTATCACTGCTATCGCGGGGTATCGGAGTCATAGAAAGGATATACAAAAACTTTCTGATCAGTCTGAAGGAGGGAAGCACGTGACAGCCAGCAAGAAAGAAAATCTTTTCTGGGCGTCAATATTTTGTCCGAGTAAGGCAGAAAAGTGCCGATTTCGTGTTCGCGTTAATAGTGTTGCGCATTGCGCATTCGCTGACTGCCGCGTGTTAATGCCTGGTATATGAATTTGTTAATTTGAGACGTTGTCCTTTGTTCCACATGGCCTACACATGCGTGACGTCATCACACAGTACAAATAATCATTACTACATGTTCTTGCCGAAAAAAGAAAAACAACATCCGTGATGCGAAATTTCTGCTGCAGAAGTCACGCGCGTAGGTGCTAGTTCCTTCTCAATGGACGCTGATGAGACGTCGATACTAGCCACGCATAAAATCATATATGCTTCGATCTGTCTTTTTGGTAAAGTGTCTCCAGGATTTTGCTATTTATCAAAAAGTGTCAGATGATTGGAGCAAATGAATTTAGTGTCACATACGCGCTGAAAACGATAAGCGCCGATACTTTGATCTATCATTTTCTGCCCGTAATAGTTTTCTTCTCTTATCTTGATAAGCGTTGCATGAGTTTGATCAATATGTTATATAATAGCCTTTTTATATCTTCATAAGCACTACCTAAGCTAGTTAATTGTCGTTATCGTAGTTTTCTTTCGATATCTTCATTAGTGCTGCATATTGCCGCGAGCGCAGCTGACTAAGTAGGCAGCGCGCTCGTGGCCTAACGTTTATCGCGCGTGCCTTCCACGCAGAAAGCCAGCCAGGATTCGATTCTTGGCCGCGGGTAAGCATTTTGTTAACTATAATGTAATGTTCTGGTAAATTCGAGAACCGTGTTGCTGATTCGAGGTTGGAATGTTCTACACGCCGAACCTGCCATGCCGATTGTTCCGGAAGCCCACGCATGTACAAAAGGGGCTCCGCGTGGCCAGCCGCGGGGTAAGTCTCGCCGCAGCGCTCGAACCGGTTGTTACGCCAGCTTCAAGGCCTGCGACGCTCTGTTCTTTTTCTCCGATTTTCTTTATTTTGGTCACAACATCGCCCCAGTAAACGTTAATTTCCTCTTGTTTATTTATTGTTCTTTTGATCACCACCCGTGCCACTCCGGTAGAGGTACAGGGTACGCACCCTATGTTTCTTAACCGTATCCCTCCGAGGACCCGTTCGGCAAGCCCCACTCCAAGTCGTTGATTCGTGGAAGACGCAGGGCCCCGGGCAAGCCTGCGTCTGCAAGGGCAACACCCCGAGTTCGGACCACTGCCGGACAAGACAAAGAAGCCATCAAAGCCGACGATGAGCTCCCCGGCCCAGCAGACCGAAAACCTTCCAGCCGGGTCGTCTACGTGTTCTTGCCTGTGGTTCCCCGCGTGCCGACGCGATTCCGCGGTGAAATCTACGAGGACGCAGAACACTGGCTCCCGTAGTACGACCGAGTGGCCCGCCACAACGAATGGGCTGAATAGCAACGCCTCCAGAACATCAACTTCTCACTGGAAAGAAAAGCAGGGCAGTGGTATGGAAATCACGAAGTCGCCTTGACCATGTGGGAAGTTTGTAAGAACGAGTTGAAGAAAACATTTGTCGGTCAACACCGACGTGAGCGTGTGGAAGACCCTTCTTCGAGGGAGGAACCAGCGACCCAGGGAAAGCGTGACATCTTTCACTGAAGACGTTCTCCGCCTGTTCGCCAGCGCCGACCCGCAGGCCACAGACGAAAAGGAGCTGCGGGTAGTCATGCGAGGTATCAGGGATGACGATGTCGGTGGCTTTGTCCGCAATCCTCCGTCGACAGTGGAAAGCTTCATCTCGGAGGCAAGCAACCTTGAAAGGGCGCTCCTCGCAAGGGCGAACCGTTACCAGCGGTAAAACAGCGCCACCACGACTGCACCATCCACCAGCAGAATCAGTTCCGGCAACTCTGACCTCTCTGCGATCCGTGAGATGGTCAGAGACGTTGTCCGCGAAGAGCTTAGGAAGTTGGTGCCGGCAACAGAGCGACCAGCTGCGCTCTTACCGAGCTCGTTAAAGAAGTGCAGCGGGCTTTTCAACCGGAGTCTCCTGTCGACATCGCTGAACCCAAAGAACCGGTGGTAACCTACGCTTCAGTGGAGCGACGACAACCACCGGTTGCTCGCCAATACACGTCGCCACCTCGACAAAACGCCCCAGCGCCACATTACCTCCGACGACAAGAAGAACGGGTCCCGTACGTTCGTCCGGAACAGCCCGCACCCAGAAAAACAGACGTCTGGAGGCTGCCCGACCGACGGCCTCTGCGCTTCCACTGCGGGGAAGCAGGCCACACCTACCGCCGATGCCCATACCGACGACTCGGGCTGCGCGGGTTCTATCCGAATGACCCGCGTCCCCGTTATGGTGAACGCCCACGAGAAATCGACGAGTACTTGCGAAAAAAAGGGATTGGTGTCGCCAGACACTTAACGAAGCTCCAGGATGGACGCACCGCTGTCCTTGTAACGAACTTTCGACAAAAGGCTCAGCACCTTACAAAAGGTACGTCCGTGGGACACATCGAGAAGCTCCAAGACTCAGCCGCAATCGCCGGAATCTCTGAAGACCCCCCTCGTCGCAACGTCAGACAGCGTCATCCTCTGAGCTCGACATCGACCCAACCCTCCTCCTTTCCCACCGGCGACAGCTAACTGACCTCTTCGCCGGGTTGTTTTAGTGCCTGCCACGTCATCAAAGGTGCTCCTGACGACGATTGCGAAGCATCGAGTAGTTACTGATAACGACGCCCTTCCTGTACATCGACCACCGTACCAAGTTTCCGTGAAAGAAAGGGAAGTCATCCAGAAGCAAGTTCAGGAAATGATTGATGACGACATCGTCCAGCCCTCAAACAGTCCGTGGTCTTCCCCAGTAGTCCTGGTGAAGAAGAAAGAAGGAACCCTGAGGTTCTGCGTGGACTATCGCCGGCTGAACGCAGTAACAGAAGATGACGTCTACCCGCTGCAACGCATCGACGACACTCTGGACCGGCTATGCCACGCCCGATACTTTTCGTCGATTGACCTGAACAGTGGGTACTGGCAGATAGAGGGCGAGGAACGCGATCGGGAGAAAACTGCCTTCGTCACGCCGGACGGACGGTACGAATTAAAAGTGATGCCATTTGGACTGTGCAACGCACCGGCGACCTTCCAGCGCGTAATGGACACCATCCTATCCGGCTTGAAATGACAAAGCTGTCTCGCCTACCTCGATGACGTCGTGTTATTGGCAAGCGACTTCGACGAGCATATGAGACGTCTGCGAGCCGTGCTACTGGCTATCCAGAGTGCTGGACAGACACTAACGCCATCAAAATGTCGAGTTGCTTATGGCAAGCTCAAATTTTTGGGCCCTGTCATGAGTGCTCAAAGTGAAAGCCTACACCCTGAGAAGACGTCCGCTATCGCCGACTTTCTGAAGCCATCAGACAAGAAAGCCGTACGAATATTTCTTGGGTTGTGCGCTAACTACAGGCGTTTCCTTCGCAATTTCGCCAAGATTTCTGCACCGCTCACGCATCTGACGAAGAACGACGTGGACTTCTGGTGGGGGGAGGAACAAGAAGAAGCGTTCAACGAACTGAAGGAATAACTCCAGTCGCGCCCTACTCTCAGACACTTTGATCCATCTGCGGAAACCGAAGTTCACACGGACGCCAGCAACACCGGGCTCGACGCAGTAGTACTCGTCCAAAAACAAGATGAAGCAGGGAGGGTGGTCGCTTACGCAAACCGGGCGCTGTCGAAGGCAGAGCAGAATTACTCAATGACCAACAAGGACTGCTTCAATGTCGTCTGGGCGCTATCCAAGTCCCGCCAGTACCTGTATGGAATCCCGTTCCGCATTGTCACGGACCACCACGCACTCTGTTGGCTCGCCAACTTTAAGGACCCGTCAGGACGCCTCGCTCGCTGGAGTCTTCGACTGCAAGAATTCGACGTAACCATTGTGCATAAGTCTTGCCGCAAGCGTAACGACGACGACTGTTTGTCTAGGGCCCCAGTCGAATCTCCTCGTGACAGCACCGTCGACGAGGATGACGCCCGTTTTCTCGGCGCAGTTACAGATACCGATATGGGAGCACTTTAACGCGACGACCCGGAACTTCGTGTCATGATCGACTACCTCGAAGATCAAGGAAGTTCAGCTCCGCAAATCTTGGCCGGAGACTTGTCAAGCTTCGTTCTACGGCAAGGCTTGCCTTCAAGAAGAGCTTCGGAACCAGCGACCCTGCCTGGCTGCTGGTTGTTCGTGCCAGCCTGCGAGAAGAAATCTCTCAAGCATGCCACGACGATTCGACGGCTGGACACTTTGGCTACAGCAGGACGCTCGCCCGGATTCGTGACAAATACTACCGGCCGAGACTCCCAAAAACCGTCCATCTCTAAACACGGTCATGCCATGAGTGCCAACGACGTAAGAAGCCTCCGACGAAGCCAGCAGGACTCCTGCAGCCGATATCAGCCCCGACTACTCCCTTCCAGCAGGCCGGAATGGACTTACTTGGGCCGTTCCCAACATCGACGCAAGGAAACCGATAAATTATCGTCGCGACCAATTATCTTACACGATACGCCGAGACGAAAGCTTTTCCATCGAGCACAGTGGTTGAAGTTGCCAAGTTGAAGCGCCTGGAGTGCTGATCACTGATCAAGGATCATGCTTTATGGCCCAGCTGCATGGTCCAAGAAATCCTTCGTCTCAGCCACACCAGCCATCGTCGCACCACGGCGTACCACCCGCAGACCAACGGGCTGACTGAGAGAGTCAACAAGACCATCGCTGACCTGATGTCCATGTACGTCGACGTGGAGCACAAGACATGGGACGAGGTGTTGCCGTACGTTACGTTTGCGTAAAACACAGTGGTTCAAGAAACAACTTAAATGACGCCGTTCCAACTGGTACACGGCCGGACGGTTACCACGATGCTGGATGCCATGCTGCCTCACGTGCCTACCGACAATCGCAAGAGCGACGCTCACTTGATCTCTCAACGCGCCAAGGATACTCGTCAACTGGCAATAATCAAGATTCAAGACCAACAGCGAGTCGACGCTCGCCGGTATAACCTTGGTTGCAGGGACGTCCACTTCCAACCCGGAGATCGGGTATGGGTGTGGACACCGATACGGCGCCGCGGTCTCAGCGAGAAGCTTCTCGAACGCTATTTCGGACCCTGAGAAATCATCCAACGCCTCGGCCATCGAAACTACGAAGTTTCACCCGACGGAACGCGCTCATCTGCAAGACGCCAGCCACGACCCGAGGTGGTGCACGTTGTCCGGCTCAAGCCGTATTACGAACGATAGAACTTTGGACTCTCATCAGAAAGTGAACTGTGGCTCGAAACTCTGCTATCCTTTTGTTGTGTATTTTTGTTTTCGTTTTGTGCTGCATTGGGACGATGCACTTTCTTTTAGGGATAATGCCGGGAGCGCAGCCGACTAAGTTCGCAGTGCGCTCGTGACCTATCGGTTATCGCGCATGCCTTTCACTCAGAAAGCCAGGGTTCGATTCCTGGCCGCGGGTACGAATTTCTGTTGATTCGAGAACCGTGTTGCTGATTCGAGGTTAGAATTTTACACGCCGAACCTTCCACGCCGATTGTTCCAAAAGCCCACGCGCGTACTAAAGGGGCTCCGCATGGCCAGCCGTGGTCCGTCTCGCCCCAGGGTTCGAACCTCCTGTTACGCCGACTTCGACGCCCGCGACGCTCTGTTCTTATCCTTTGTTTTTCTTTTTATTTTGGGCACAAGTTCGTCCCAGTAAATGTTAATTTCCCCCTGTTTATTTATCAATCAGCACCCGTCACAATGTTCTTCAAATTTGGGGGTTTTACGTGCCAAACCAACAACGGGCATCTGACACGCCAAGCGGAGGACTGAGGATTAATTTGGAACACCTGGGGATCTCTTGACGTGCAACCGAAGGCTCGGTTACACGGCGCCTTCTCCGCAATAAGCCTCCGTCAGATTGCGGGCACCTCGGCCGGGATTTGAACCCGCCACATGGGAATCCGTAGACCAGCGCTCTCGCCTCGGAGCCACCGAGGCGACTGACAATGTTCGTAGGCAAGTATAGGCACAGTTCGTGATAAGCTATGCCTTACGGAGTTTGTTTGATATATTGTATTTAGGTTTAGTACGAGCATATTTATCAGTACAGAGTCTGGCAAAAGCGAGTGCGGAAAACGAATAACGCGTATCGGACGTCGTACCAGAAAAATAAAAACACGAAATGTGAGCCATGGTTTTAACGCAACGAAGTCTTCGTAATAGTCATATCGCATGGAATACTGAAAAAAGTGATACAAAAATTACAAGTGGCTTGCTCACAAATGGTTTTGCTCAACAGAAGTCTAACATTAAAACGTCGACAGAAATTAGGTCGTTTTTTGTTGGTTTTAACGAGTTCACTACGAACAAATCTTTACTGCGTGTTTTGGCAGTAGGTTTTCGGCGTGCATATTCGTTGACCAAAAATAACCTGTGCTTCGTTTCAGCTGAAGTCCATGGACGCAGCCGACGCTACGAGCTAATCTGACCAATCAGGCCGCGTCAAAAGCACAAGTCACATGGCAATAGTTTTGTTTATGACCGGCTGAGCGATGATGGAACACGAATACACAAAAAGGACGAACACCGTGCATGATGGTGCGCTTTTGGCGCCATCTGATTAATCCTATCAGCTCCTGGCGTCGATATGAACTGAAGGTTAAACGAAATGTATTTGTGAAAAATATACATTTGTTTCTCTCTATTTTCCAGGTAAATGGCTTGTGTCAAGCAGGGTTCGAGTTTCATAAGCCACATAGAGTTCTGGCGGTGGCATGTCACAAGTTTCCATGAGCCTAAAGGACAGCACCTGACGTCTTCGTTCTTGCGCGCATTGCAGCGAACATGTTCAACTTGTGACTACATCATTTACGTCTTTGTTCATTCGCGGCTTTAGACATCACCGTGAAGTAATATCAGATGAGCGAGATTTAATGAAAAAATTGTGTACGTTGGAGATTTGGTTATATGTTAGGCAAAAATAAAGCCGGATGTTCTGATGCTGATGTAGATCATGTGGTTTTGCTGTTCCTTTCTTTTTTGAGCATGGTAGGTTGTTTCATGGCCGATAGCTTTGGCGTGGAGATTGCTCGCGCGCTGTTTCAAAACATATTGGGATTCAGAAGTACTGTCTGTGATTTGTTCGGTGGCACACCTTGCACTTTTACTTTTTCCCTCGTGTCAGTTGCACGCCAGGGAAATTGAAATTCTTTCTTGTCATTGTCCTATCCTGCCTGGGTCTGGATTGTACGTAGTGTATTGTAAATAAATAACTAAACTTCTCAACTTTTTTTTCTTTTTTTTTTTGCGAGTTTTACGTCTGAGGAACCAGAGAGGTGATTGCAGACTTTCCGAGACAGGAATGCACGGGAGGTGCTCTACCATATACTTAGATTGGCCCAGCGGTGTTCTCAAGAGCATTCTTCCATTAAATATAAGGGTTATCAATACATTAACGTTTTTGCAGAGCATATATCTGCTGAACTTCGAATTGACCAAGCTGACTGGTAACAGGGCCTCTCATACCAATTACATTGTCCTATTCGCGAACTTGCGCTTACTCCACTGTGCAAGTTATATCGTAGGCATTGAGGGAGCTTTCGTAATCACACATACGTTAAAATGACCCCATAATGTGAGTAGAAAAGTGCCGTAACGGGAAACGTAGCGCTATTGGAATCAGTGTTGTACACGTTCCTCAAAAAATGGAACGGAAGCTCGTTCCTCGTTCCTTCTGATGTTTGGAACGCGTTCCCGTTACAAGTTCCATATGTGAAAAAGGAACTCGTTCCCGTTACAGTTAAAGAAATGGAACGTTTCGTTCCATATACGTTACATTTGTATTTTGACGATTACCATATACAATTAGATCAAACAGAGTGTTTTTTGTTGTTTTTTATCTATCCCATCAAATGGCAACATACACATTTGAATGAAGTGATGGAAAGGCACTAATAGAAGACAAGCGGAAGTGTTTCATTTGTTGATATATTCACCTATAAAAATCTCAGCTTTTAACCATATTTTGTGGTGGGCGATTCAGACGAGCCAAATGTACTGTTACCCCACATCGCACGAGCATTTCACAACAACCTCAAGCGTTTCAATCTAACAAAGTCACTTGTTCGAACATAACAACAGTAGCTACTCCATGTTGCTGTCCGCAAGACGAGCAAGTGAAGAAGGTAGGGCTGTTGGAAGGTCAGTCTTGAAAAGTACAAGTCCTTCTTCCTGAAGGTTGAACTCGCTGTTCAGTTTGAAGATAGGGAACAAGGGGAGAAGAAATAAAAATTAATTTTTGTGTATATGTTATGCCACCAATATTCAGGATACAAGGGTGCGTTCGATACCGGGTAACGTGCTCTTCTGTTATAACTGTACGTCTATTTGTGGAAGTTCAGTGATGGCTGCAGTCGGTCTTAGGTTTCTGCGTGTACGAGGATTCGTGGAAGCAAAGAAAGTAGCTGAGTTAGAAACGTCTTTCTTTCTGGGTCTTTTCTCCGAGTAAAAGTTTGGCTTTTTGTAGCGCAGCCTCGGGCGCTGAAAAAAGAATCGATGTCCACTAGCTCTCCTGCACCCGATTGTCATCAAGCGAGTATCACACAAAATTAGCCATAAGGTATGTAACCAAAAAGTTAATGAAATCCTGCTCTTCGTATAGCTGGATATTGTTTTTATACTTTTAGAATTTCCCTTTCAGAAATAAAATACAAATTACTCCACTGGACGAAAAAAAAGGAACGCAGTTCCTTTTTCCGTTCCAGTGAAAATGTAACGCGTTCCCGTTCCAGTTCCACCGATACAAAATGGAACGGCGGCGTTCCTTTGTTCCTCCTAAAGGAACGCGTTCCAGGAACGCCGTTCCTTGGAACGCCGTTCCGTACAACACTGATTGGAATCTTGGTAACAGACCCCTTTCGGAGTAGAGCGCCACCTGTTGCACGCAGCTGCAACTAGGTCCGCCGCCATCACGCAGGGGTCCCGCCAGAACCGCCTGCATCTTACCGCCTACAACGGTGCTGCTTACACATTGAGTCCTAGTCTGCGCGCGTCGCATCAGTATGCCATCGCATTGCTGCGTACCTTTGTGTACGCAGGATGGATACGTTGACGGAGACGGAAAAAAGGTACGTATCAGACAAGTTCTAAAGTGTTCAAAAAGAAAAAGCGAGTCCTCGTGTAGACGTACGTTTCAGTCTACTTGCTACTTCGATTCGATTTTAGTTGTGCGTTCCGTAAACGCTGCCGAGTGAACATCTCGAGCGATCTTCTTGGTTCCATTTGCCAAAGTCGTAAAATTCCACCTGCTTACACCGTTATGATGCTCATGAAATGTGGTATTAAAAATACAGACTTTTCCAATCATTTCATTGAAAATTAACCCAAGCCGGAGCTGTCTGGTCAAGCGCGTTTTTCTGCGGTGCACGGAGACCACGAGTGGGTGTGCGTCGTTCAATCACGGAGCCTCCGTCAATCGTGCCGTGGCAAACGGCACCTTTATCAATGCTATCGCGGGGTATCGGAGTCATAGAATCGATATACTAAAACTCTCTAATCAGTGTGAAGGAAGAGAAGCAGGTGAAAGCCCTTACCGAAGATTCCAAGCAGGTGGAGAGGAAGAAGGGCAGTGACCTCAAAGAAAAGCTTTTCTGGGCGTCAGTATTCTGCCCGAGTAACGCAGAAAAGCTCCGATTTCACGTTCGCGCTAATGGTGTTGCGCATTGTGCATTTGCTGACTGCCGCAGTTAATTCCTGGTATATGAATTGGTTAATTCGAGACGTTGTCCTTTGTTGCACATAGCCTGCATGTGCGTGACGCCATCACACAGTACAAATAATCATTACTACATGTTATTGCCGGTAAAACGAAAACATAACAACCTCCGTAATGACAAATTTCTGGTTCAGAATGCATGCGCGCAGATTGCAAGGTCCTTCTCAATAGATGCTGATGAGACGTCGATACAAGCCACGTATAAAATCATATCTGCTTTGATCCGCGTTGTTGGTGAAATCTCTGCAGGATTTCGCTATTTATCAAAAAGTGCCAGATCATTCGAGCAAAATAAGTTTGTAGCACAAGCGCGTTGAAAACGATAAGCACCGATACTTTGAACTATCGTTTTGTCTCCTTAATAGTTTTATTCTCTTAAATTGGTTATATATTAGCTTTTCTAATATATTCATAAGCACTACATAAAGCTAGTTAATTGTCGTTATCGTAGTTGCCTTTCGATAACTTAATAAGTTCTGCATAATCTTAAAAATGTATGGGCACAGCTCCTGATAAGCTACGCCTTACGGAGTTTATTTGATATATTGCATTTGGGTTTAGTACGGGCATATTTATCAGGACAGATAGTGGCAAATCTGAGTGCCTAAAACAAATAACACGTATCGGGTCGTACCAGAAAAATAAAACAAACGGAATGTGAGCCATGGTTTGAACGCAATGAACTCCTCGTAACAGTCATATCGCAGGAATACTGAAAAAAGAGATAGAGAATTACCAGCGGCCTGCTCACGAATGGCTTTGGTCAACAAGAGTCTAACATTGTAAGTCGGCAAAAATAAAATCGGTGTTTGTTGACTTTAACGATTTCACTACAAACAAATCTTTACTGCGTGTTTTCACAGTAGGTTTTTGGTGTGCATATTCCTTGACCAAGAATAGCCTATGCATCGTTTCAATTTAAGTCCATGGACGCAGCCGACGCTGCGAGCTTATCTGACCAATCAGGCCTCGTCAAAAGCATAAAAAGCACCGGATAATTTCTGTTTGAGTGGTTAAGCGAGGATAGAACACGAATACACAAAAAGGACGAACACCGTGCATGAAGGTTCCCTTTTGAACGCCATCTGATTAATCCCATGAGCTCCTGGCGTCGATCTGAGCTGAAGGTAAAACGAAGTATATTTTTTTTAAAGTTTATATTTGTTTCTCTCTATTTTGCAGGTGAATGGTTGGTGTCAAGCAGGATTCGACTATAATCTGCCACATAGACTTCTAGCGGTGATCTGTGAAAAGCTTAAATGAGCCTGAAGGATGGCATCTGACGTCTTCGTTCTTGCGCGGATTGCAGAGAACATGTTCAACTTGTGACTACATCACTTGCGTCTTTGTTCATTCGCGGCTTCAGACATCACCGTGAAGTATTATCAGATGAGCAGGATTTAAACAAATTTGTATACGTTGCAGATTTGCATTGTACGAAAATAAAGTCGGATGTTCGGATGCTGATGTAGATTATGTTGTTTTGCTGTTCGTTTCCTTTTTGGGCATGGTAGGTTGTTCTATACCCGATAGTTTTGGCGCGGTGATTCCTCGCACGCTGTTTCACTATATATTGGGAATCAGAAGTACTGTCTGTAATTTTTTCGGTGGCACACCTTGTACTTTTTTTTTTTTTTTTTTTTCTCGTGTCAGTAGCACGCAAGGGAAATTGAAATTCTTTCTTGTCATTGCCCTATCCTGCCTGAGTCTGGGAGGGTATGTAGTCTATTGTAAATAAATAACTAAACTTCTTAAACTTTCTTTTTTTTTTTTTGTAAGCTCCACGGGGGAGGTACCAGAGAGGTGATTGCAGATTTTCCGAGACAGAAAAGCAAAGGAAGTGCTCTACCATGTACTTTGATTGACCCAGCGTCGCCGTCAACGGCATTTTTTTATCAACACATTAACGTTTTTGCAGAGCATATATCTGCTGAACTTTGAATTTACCAAGCTGACTGATAAAAGGGCCTCTCATACCAGTTACATTGTCCTATACGCGAACTTACGCTTACTCCACTACGCAAGCTATATTGCAGGCATTGAGGGAGCTTTCTTAACCACACATACGTCAAAATAACCCCATAATATGAGTAGAAAAGTGCCGTAACTGGAAACACAGCGTTATTGGAGTCTTGGTAATAACAAGTTTTGGCTCTAACACTTTCATTGCCGACAGTTATTTTTTTATTAATCTT